AATTTCACTTTAGAAATCGTTTTCGATCTAGTGGGACTAGTAATATCATAATAAAAGTTCATAATTTTACTCTGCCATAATCTGACCTGATTTCAGTTGTACATAAATCCACGCATTCAATGTGATCAGCAGAGTATCACTTTATCAATATACGACCTTCAATAATATTTTCTCCACATCAAATATTTCATAAATTTACGCCCTCGGCGTGATGAGTGATATTCTTTTCACATATACTCATGAGTAATTATTTCTCTACATCATCTCAATCTAGCTGATTATAAATAAGGCCAAATTATATTCGTCAATAATTTCATAATTCTGCAACCATAATTGCATCGATTCATACTGAGCTTTTAAGAAGGATCACAATACTCTGTGAATGTTTTTTTTTTTTTTTTTTTTTTAAATAAAATTAGTGGCTCTTTCACCGTGAGATATTCAGTTTTCAAATTATCAGAAACTGAATGCAGTCCCAAAAACATTGAATTTAATCTCAATATCCATAAAATAGATCTCATAAAAATTAATTGTGCCCAGGCAACATAATCATGCCTTTATCATGTGTGACATGTATCAAGATATAAACTATAATATTAAGAATAACTTAATATTATGAATGAAGTACCATGATCACTATGGTGTTTATAACAATTTAATTACAAGATTAGGTATAATAAAATTCCAAAGGTAATCATAAAGTTAATTTTGTACTTTATTTGATTACCTATAAAAATTGTCCAAGATTTGGACTTGTGCCTAGGTAAACTCTATTTCCTTGCCTATGAGCTTGAAACTGATCTACGCGTAGTATCATAATTATAACTAATAACAAGTGAATCAGTGGTTAATAATTACATTTAAGTGCATGGTTTGATTTTTAAAGTAAACATTGTGAATTATTAATTATTTTTGGCAATTATCATAGACATAACAAGTCCAAGTTGAGTTATACTACAACTCATCAAGTTTGACAGGGACTACAGAATTGGGAAGTAATTCAAACTTACCATACTTGTAGAGTTTGTAAAGAAACGGGTAAGAACACTACTTTAGGAAGGAATATGAACAAGGTTGGACATTCTACAATTACTATGTTAGTCTGGAATTCCTGTAGAATGAAACAAGGTTGAAAGAATTCGAATATTCAGGTTTGCCAACCTTGAACCGGTTTAGCTTCCTTGAACCGGTTCAAGATGCTCAAGTTTGAGACACTGCCAAACTTGAACCAGTTTAGCTTCCTTGAATCGGTTCAAGATGTCCTGTTTGCTATCCAACTTCAGTTTCCTTTTTCTGAATTATTTCCCAGTTGGTCTAGAATTGTGCCAAATCCTTTGCACGAAATTTATCATATTTTCTGAGGGATTAGGACTTTCAAAACTCTACATAAACCTTGTCATATACATTGGCTGATTTTATGGCTTTAGGGAAAATCAATTCTATATTTTGAGAAAGCCTTTTAGAGAGAGAAAATTCAGAAAATCAAATCTAATTGTTCTGAATTTATTTATGAGAGCATATATATATATTCATGACTGTTTTAGTGGTATGGTTCTCTATTTCATTGGAATTGGAGCTCTATTGAAGATTCAGAGATTCCGTATTACGAGCATGATTTAATTCTTCTACAACTGAGTTCAGATTGAAGAATAGAAGTAAAAGCAATCACACTTTGAAAGGGTTGGAGCATTCGTGGAGTATTGTCTGATCTACCTGTTACTCTTGTACAAATATCAAGTGTAGGCCTGAGTTCAAATTGTTGTTGGACGGGGAGTTGTAAAGACAGAGGATCGTTAGCAGTTGGTGTTGGGTAGAACTATAGGGTGTGAGCCATAGTCAAAGTTCAGTATATTTTATTTCAAGTATAGTGGATTAGTTTACTTTAGACTACACAAGTTCCCGAGATTTTTCCCATAACAGTTGATGTATTTTATTAACTAGGGTTTCCTCGCTAAAATCCTGGTGGAATCTCTCTAATTCTAACTTGCTTTACTTTGCGTATATTTGTGATTATGAATGTTTAAATTGATTATATAATTTAAATAGATAAAGTTGACCTAATTATCAGATCTAGGTTATTAAAGGAGTTAATCACAATTAACTGTTTCCACACCCAACTAACTGTTTCCGCACCCCGTATCACTCTTGTTTCACAAACATTCTATTAACGATCACTGTTTATGTTCCTCCCATTTCAAACTGAATCATAGAGTCAAATCCACAACAAGATAGCAAAGAGAGATAAATAAAGACGAGACTAATAACAAAAGAGATGAAGGAAATGTATTAGTAAAACTGTAATCAAAGTAAAAACTAAATTATATGGCACATGGATATATTTTAGTTGCTGGTAATAGCTTCACAGACATTATAAATAATTTCTCCCTTATCCCAACAATTGATTTGAATATAGATACTTAGAGATATATAATAAGCGTGGTGGACAGCCAAAAAGTCTTAACATAGTTATATATATAAAAGTAAACCAACCTGATACATGCCAAGTAACCAAGAGATTATCCATCGAGAACCATTACCAATGGTCCCCAAAATCTTATTTATTCAAGACATAAATTTAAATATATATGTGTGCATCATATCAAGTAAATATTGGGACCAGTGTTTCTGGTCGAAATGTTAAGAGCTATATCTTACAACTAATCGGCTCAGTGGTCAAATTCCATCCAAATTAGGGGAATGTAGAGAGCTTCAAATATTGGATTTGTGAGAAAACAAATTCACTGATAGTATACCAAAGGAATCCGGGAACCTTACATCCCTCAAAATTCTAGCTCTTTATGATAACAACTTGACAGGTAACTCTAGGACTTTATTACCTTTTATTAATTTATATTAGTAAATATATCTCTTGCACATGATATTTGCATCTAGATCAACTTTCGAAGCACCCATACTTTCCATCATAAAATAAGCTAGTAACATCCAATGTCAACAAAGTCATATATTAAAAGTAACCATTGTCTGTGGTTCCTAGGGTGGGGCTGACAAGGAAATTCAGTTGGGGATATCTAATAATACGAAAATAGAAATTAAAATATAATAAATTTCTCTTTACAATAGAATTCTTTATATAAACAAAATCCGAGATAAGATTATCTATAGATGAAAACTACTTGATATTTGTTATATATGTGTATATACATATATGCTCAATAGAAATATATTTGGCTATTTTTAAAAAGATAAAATTTTCTTTTCTATTGTGTTTAACAAAGCAAACAAACCCAACAATTTATCAAAATTAATATCACAAGTAATATATATGAGTTGAGATAGAGAGAGGGAGTGAGAGTTTCTCGTTCAAGTCTTAGTTGGTTAGAGACTCGTGTTGATAACGTATTGTGAATCTAAAAGACAAAATAGAACATAAAATTATATCTACAATATAGAGAGAAGAATATATAGAGGGGAGCTATAGAGATCTTATTTTTTTCTCCTAAATCCAAATACATACATATAGCAGTGAATAATCCATATTTATAATCAAACTTTACATTATTCAACATCCTTAATGCACCATTAATAAATGCATTTACCACTTCCGTAGAGCACACACATCACATCCCAATTTACTAGTGACATAATGCACACACATTCACATCCCAATGCATATGGTCCTATAACACTAGTGAATTTTTAAAGTTATAAATAATGATTGTTGAGCCTAAGTTTTCAAATCAAGGCTTCGACCTACCATTAATTAATTGTGGCGTGGGCAAGTGGATCCACAATAACACTAGCTTATGGTTGGAAGAGGAAACAAATTTTTTACTGAAAAAAGTTGGAAAGATACAAGTAAAGTTTAGTCTTAGCCCATGGGACACTTCTAGCTAGTGCCATTTTTTTTATTGATGAGAATGATGATCAATACTGTCGTTGTGAAGCTGTTGGACAAGCCCTGCTTAATGTTCTATAACGGAATGATGGGAGCAAATAATTTTTTGTGACTCTTGTTTCCGAGAAGATGCTTTTGAGGGAATAAAAAATAAACAAATCATTCAAAGTGCATATCTTACGAATTAACTTTCTCTAATCCAATGCATATCTTATGTAGACTAGTTTTTACCTAACACTCTTATTATCAACAAATAGTTATGTATATATATAATAACTTTTAATCATTATCAATTATAGAAAAAAAATATTTTACTTATTTGAGACATTTCAAAAAAAAAAAATGAAAAAAAATAATTCAGTAATAAATGGAAAAAATTAATTAATTTTGGATGCACATATAAAAAAATATAAACAATTTAATTAGTAATACATATTTTACAAAAAAAAAAAAACAATTTACAGAAGAAAGAAACTCTCCTTTTCAAAGAAGTCTATGTAATTAAGTAAAGAAAAAGAGAGACAACTAACATGGGTATAATTGGAAAGCAATATATAAAGTACACAAGTTTTGCGAGAAAGTGAATTTTCCTATATTTTTTGCACAAAAAATTTTGAAGAAAATTTTCAGATACGGGAATTCTACTTTCTCCAAAATTTTCACTTTCCTTCTAACCAAACTTTCAAAAAATTTAAATATTTTTCTTTTCTTTTCTTTTCTTTTTTGTTTACTTGACGCTATACCCTTATTGTGTTTCTTACTTTTATTTTTTTTTTCAAGCTACGTGAATCCAGTTGTATTAGGGTCCCGTGGACCTTGACCGAGAAAGATATTACACCTATTTAGTCACAATCGACTGCTTTTTTTTACTGAACCATCGACTCTAGTGTAGTATAATCAATACTACTTCCAGCCGTCCATTAAAATTAAAGGAATAATTTAGACCTTTCATTTTTTCTCATCCAATCTCTGTCAAAGTGCAAGACTCAGAACTTACCATTTTTTTTCAGTACAGCTAAAATTTACGTGATATATATATATATATATATATATATATATATATATATATATATATATTTCATTGTGCTATGTTTTACATGCCCACCTGCATTTTTGTGTTAATCCAAATTATTCACATACACTCATGGAGAGAACTTGCTTTGCTCTTTTGCATGTAGTGTTGTTAGTGCATTGTCTTTTGGCTTGTTTAGCTGGGAGTGTTACCAACATTACTAGTGACCAATCTTCTCTTCTTGCCTTGAAAGCCCACATAACTCTCAACTCTCGTGGTGTCTTGGCTAAAAATTGGTCCACAGCTACCTCTATTTGTAACTGGATTGGGGTCACTTGCGGCACTCGCCACCTACGAGTGACATCCTTGAATATTTCTGACATGGCTCTTGAAGGTACAATTCCACCACACCTAGGTAACCTCTCGTTTCTCGTTTCCCTCGACCTTAGTACCAACAATTTCAGTGGTCATCTGCCCTACGAATTATCTCATCTGCGTCGATTGAAATTCATGAATTTGGAAATTAACAAATTTAGTGGGCAGCTTTCATCATGGTTGGGTGTCTTTGCTGAACTGCAAGAGTTAAGGCTTGCTAACAATAGTTTTACAGGTACTATCCCACCTTCCCTCTCCAACATATCGATGTTAGAACACTTGGATTTATCTTCTAATTTTCTACATGGAATGATTCCACAAGAGGTTGGTAATCTTCATCACCTGAAGAATCTAATCATGGAAGATAACCAATTTGTAGGCTCTTTGCCACTAACCATCTTCAATATCTCGTCACTGCAAGTGATTGGTTTTTCGAAAAATAGCTTATCTGGTAATCTTCCAATGCATATGTGCCTTCGTCTTCCAAACCTCCAATGGCTTACTCTATCTTACAATGAGTTGCATGGCGAAATTCCATCAAGTTTATATGAGTGCTCAGAACTTCAAATTTTGTCACTATCATTTAACAAATTCAATGGACCCATTCGTAGAGGGATTTGGAATTCAACTGTGCTCAGGGAGTTATATCTTAGCAATAACAACTTGGAAGGTATTCTTACATATACTATTTTTAATTTGTTTATAATCAATTTAGTGTGCCCGTGTTAGATTCCCCCTCCCCCTAATTTTTCAAGAAAAATAAATAAATTATAAGTCTATGAATTAATGTGCTCAGGGAGTTATATCTTGACAATAACAACTTGGAAGGTACTCTTACATATACTATCTTTAATTTGTTTATGATCAATTTAGTGTGCTTGTGTTAGATTCCCTCTCCCACTAATTTTTTAAGAAAAAAAAAAATTATAAGTCTATGAATTAATGTGCTCTCATAGTGAGTTTGTAGCTTGTCAGGTTAAATAAACTACATGCCACATTTTCTTATGTTTATCTATAAGTATATGATTAAAATGAAATGTTTTATATCGATGGTAATTAAGTGTGAGAAAACCGGTTTGAATCTTGAGAGCATTTGTTTTATACTCATTAATATAATATCAAAATTAATTTGTGTACACAAACGATAAATTCTTTTGCAGGTGAAATTCCGGAAGACATGGGTAACCTTCGTAATTTGGAGTTATTATCGATACAGTACGCCCACCTCATTGGTCGCATTCCATCATCCATATTTAACATTACTTCTTTGAAATGGATTTCATTTTTTGTGAACAACTTGACTGGTATGATCCATTTAGTTTGACAAGCTTTGCAAGTTATTTTTTGCTTTAATATACTAAACAAATTTTTTCTTTATCATTTTCATTTTTCCTTTGGGTTTTACCATTCATGCTAACTAAACACAGCCCTGGACCACCAGGTGTCCAATGCCCTGGGAAGGGGGCTGAAAGGGCAAATATGTCCACAGTTATGGGCATTGAAAGATGCCCAAGAGATGGGTCAAGCCACTAACAATAGGCCCAAGAAATGTAAACCTAGCCCAGGCGAACTTACCTCTCGACGTAGGTCAAGCCAACCCACCAAGTAGATGGTCCATTAGCAACAAGACGTGGGCATAAAGGGAAAAATATTAGGGTAATGCACGGACACTATAAAAGAAACAAGAAAGATAGTGGGAGGGGGACCGGGTATTGTATGGAAACTTTTCATTTGTGGGAAAGAACCTATTTCTGTACCTACACCTAATTGGCGCTCTCTGTGGGAAACGATGAGTGAGATCTCGTACTTTTTCGACTTAATTCATGACATAGCTGTGATCAGGAACTATGATCGGAGAAGGAAGTATTTATTAGCAAGGAGAGAATCGAAGCAATCGGCAGGATGAGCTCTGGCAACTGGTTTAGACCCTACACCGGGAAAATACTGAGCTAGTCGAAACTTCATCAGGAGAACGCGGAGCTTAGATAACTTTTTGAGTGTGATGCTATGCCATGACCTCCGGCTCCTCTAGTGGATATCGCGGTGGCAAATGAAGTTGATCAACTGCGTAATGACTAGGTCAGATTTGTTTACCTCGACCCCCGCCGACCTGAGATCGACCCAGGGTGCAGGTTGACGAACGAGCAGGAGGGAACTTGTCAATATCCCACTACACGAAAATCCACTACAGACTAGACATTCGATGAAACGTCCAAAACGGATATCAGGACATAGGTTCAAAAGAAGATAGGAGAATAAATAAAAAAGCTAAAGGCGCTAGTGTCAGCTGACATGGCTGCCAGGACATCCACCCACATGGTGGAATCCCCCATTCACAGAGGAGATCCTTAAGAGCCCAAGCCAAAGAAGTTCGTCGTCCCAATATTCACCTCATTTGTTAGGACTAAAGACCCGATGGAGCACGTCTACAATGTGCATCTTAAAATGGCTCTGCACACTAACGATGACGCTTTGATAGGTAGAGTATTTCCAACAAGCCTTGCCGGACCGGTGCTCAACTGGTTCAAACACTTGCTAAAATGATCAGTCGATAGTTTCCATCAATTATGTGAACTGTTTATGCCTAGTACTTTGGTAGCCAATAAATTCCGAAGACCGTATTGAGACTATTCACGATGAGGCAGCAGATGGTTGCAAGCTTTCCTCACCATGTTCAACTTAGAAAACAGTATGGTTGATGACCGCGATCAAATGGCAATGGTAGAAGCTTTCAAGCTGGCGATCATTCCAGGGATGAAATTCCATTCTTCATTGGTAAAGAAGACCCCACTGAACATGGAGATGTTAAGTGCCAAGGCTCAAGGATACATACAACTAGAAGAAGAAGAGGTAGAAAAGATGCAACGAACCACCATGGTTGTCGTGGAAAGTCAATCACGTGATAAGATGATGAACCAAAGACCCTTAATCGAAGCACCACCAGCTCCTTGGAGACCTCCCAAATAGCAGAGAGGACCCTTCTAAAGATCTCACTGGAAAGGTTCTACCAAGAGAACAAGGTAAAGTTCACACCACCATAACCAATCAGATAACCGATCAAACAGAAGGACTAGTTAAAGCACGTGCCTTCCATAGTGATTTTGGCCATCAAACCATTGAATGCAGAAATATGAGAAGATAGGTTAAAATAATGATTGCTAGGGGTAAGTTGTCAAATTATTTATTGACCAAAGATCACCAAAACCCAAACCAAATGACAGGGCACCATAACCTGGTGAAATGGAGTGATAAAGCTACTAACCTTCAAGAGGCACATCCTATTCGGATCATCAACACTATATATGGGCGACCAGAGGAAGATGAGAAGATTGAAGAAGGGCACTGATCACGTCTAAGGCAAGCACAGAAGTTGAAAAGATTGGGTAGTGTCAACACCGTAAAAAGGGAAAGCGGCCCAACTCAGATCAGATTCGGTGAAGCTGACCTTTAAAAGGTGCAAACCCCACACGAGGATCCTCTCATGATTAGCCTCATGGTGGCTAGTTTCCTTATAAAGTGAGTCCTAATTGACCCGGGAAATAGTGTCAATATAATCACCAAGTTAGCCTTCAAACAACTGATGGTCGACCAAAAACAAATCAGGCCGATCGGGAACCCATTGGATGGTTTCGATAGCAAAATGGTGGAACCGATCGGAGTAATCGAACTGCCAGTATGTGTTGCCCGGAGGAACCATAAGGAGAAATTTGTTATTATGGACGTCCACCCATCTTACAACTTGTTGATGGGAAAGGGGTGGATCCATCGTATGCAGGGCATCCCATCCACCTTGCATCAGGTTATGAGATGCTTGAACCCAAAAGGAAATGATGTGATTGAAATTTGAGGAGACCAAGTCACTGCAAAGGAATGTAATAACCCTTTGAACCAGAGATAAGGGCAATGCTATCGCCAGGCCCCAAGACCCTAAATAGCAATCATAAAGCCTTCCATCCAAGTCAATTGAACAAATCATGGAGGTGAATGAGCAATTCCTAACTGAAGAAAAGCTAGAGGAAGTATAAATTTATCCGCGCAAAGCAGAAAGGACAACAAGGGTATGTCACTGCAGTCCCAAGAAGAAAAAAATGAATTAGTTGAGCTTTTAAGAAGAAACTTGGACGTCTTTGCTTGGAGCCACCTGATATGTCAAGGGTGAGCCCAGAGGTTGCTTGTCATAAGTTAAATGTTGATCCAAGTTTTCAACCCATACGACAGAAGTAAAGAAGATTTACCCCAGAAAGGATCCAGATAATAGCCGAAGAACTTGACCGCCTATTATTGGAGGCAGGATTCATCAGGGAAGTGCATTACCTTCAATGGTTGTTAAATGTTATTGTAGTAAATAAAAAGAATGGAAAGTGGAGGTTGTGCATTGACTTCACAAACCTCAACAAAGCATTCACCAAAGACAGTTAAATGCTTGAACAGAACCTCAATATGATAGAAGATAAGAAAGAAGTAGGAGTGATAAGGCTAACCTCCTACCAGCAAACTTTAATAAATAACCACAACAAAAAGGTTAAGCACAAAGCATTTGCCCAAGGAGATCTCATCCTAAAAAGGAAAGTAGGCATAGTGTCTAAGATGGCCCCCATTGGGAAGGACTATTCGAAATCACTGAGGTTGTGGGGAAAGAAGCGTACAAGCTCAAAAGGCTCAATGACAGGCAGATCGACAAGCCATGGAATGGCACGTACCTAAAGTGGTACTTCCAATAAAAGATTCTATCGTTTCCTCCTTTCTTTTCATTTTATGCTAAAAAAATCCTATAAGGTTGAGCCGAATGCTAATATAACCCCTCATATAAAGTAAAAGTTATAAAATTATTAAGTGATAACTTCTTCCAAGTATGATAAGTTGCATGAATGATCATTAACCAGAAACTTGAAAAAATCTTTCAAGTTTCTATAAAGATTTTTTCAACTTGAGTGGCAAATAACATACAGAGCATCCGATCGAGTTTGGAGGATGATATCATGGAAACTTGCAAGTTGAGTGGTAAGTGGCACCAAGAGCCGATCGCCAAAGACTTAGTTAAATTTTTAAAGAAATTACAAGTTGAGTGGCAAGTGGCACCAAGAGCCGATCGCCAAAGACTTAGTCAAATTTTTACATAAAAAAGTACAAGTTGAGTGGCAAGTGGCACCAAACCGATCGCCAAAGACTTAGTCAAATTTTATAAGAAAATTACAAGTCAGAGTGGCTAATGGCAGTAAGAGCCGATTGCTAAAGACTTAGTCAAATTTTTTTAAAAAACTAGAAGTCAGAGTGGAAAGTGATACCAAGAGCCAATCACCAAAGACTTAGTTAAATTTTCAAAGAAAATTACAAGCTAAAATGGCAAGTGGAACCAAGAGCTCATCGCAAAAGACTTAGTTAAATTTTCAAAGAAAATTACAAGTAGAGTGGCAAGTGGCGTTAAGAGGTGATCGCTAAAGACTTAGAATTGACAAGTTGAGTGGCAAATGGTATCAATAGCCGATCGCCAAAGACTTGGTTAAATTTTCAAACAAAATTACAAGTTGTGACAAGTGGCACTAAGAGCCGATCGCCAAAGACTTAGTTAAATTTCCTATAAGTTAGGCAGCAATTGTGGTAGAGAAAAAAGAGCTAGAATTATCATAAACAACAAAAGACATTTCCTGGTATTATATGATAAAAAGATCCAATACAAAGATGGAAAAGTCAAATGTTACACCACGTGCCTTGGATTTACAAAAGGAACAAAAAAAACCCCTACACATTATCCTAGTGGGAAGGAGAAGACTTAACATTCACAGTGTTCTCCACAGCAGACTCCGAATTTGCTTCTGCCTCCGGTAGGGATCACATTAAAATAAAATCAAAGGATCCTTAACTCGAACTATTGATCCATCTTGTTGATTCTGAGGAGCTGGAGAGACAAGGGGATCAACAGTAGGAAGTGAGGGGGGAATGGGAGCTGGAAGAAACCAAAATATCCGAACACTCCTTGAAGACTTCTTATATGAGATCCTCAAAGGGGTTAACGTAGTTCTCAGGTGGCTCAATACCTAAGGCTAAGTCACAGGCATCCAGACCATTATATGCTCTTCTTGCCCCTTTAGCTAAATGATAGTTTAGGTAGCCATCTTAGTAACTGTTCGCATACCTCATGGCAGTAGTACGGGACAACCAGGAGTGTAAAGTAGGAGATAAGAGTACTTGCCAGCGACATCCTCTATCTTCATCTATGTAAACATACAAGTGGCCTTAGACGCCTCTAAGTTCTTTGCCATTTTAGAGCGACTCCATTCGGATTCACAAAGCTGGGCAACCAACTTAGTGAAATCTTCAATAAGTTTGTTCTGCTGAGTAAGGATGCTGGCGATCTGTTGCTCTCTGTTGTCAACAGCCTTTTACATAGCAGCTATACCGAACACGGTCTGTAGGGATAAAATACTCAACTGAGGCACCAACAAAAAATAATAATAATAATAAATAATATTTTACACAAGGAAAGAATTATACCTCTATAGCATAAATGGGGAGGCGAGAGAACATGTCTTTCTTACTAAGTTCATTTTGGAACTTCATATCCATGAGAGTCCAAAGGTCTCAAAAATAAGATAGAGTTGTGGCCCCATT